CAGTTTTACTGCGTTGGTTAATCCATAGTTGGGGTTCGTAGGTTTTTTGCTCCTTGATAGGAGTTTTTCTGCAAAATTTTTGTCGACCATATTGCAAAAATCGTCGATTAGGCAAAATAATTCTGTTATATTCTTCTTCATGGGTAACCTCTCTATTTTTTAAGATAAAATATCTCAGAGTTTACCCTATTTTCTTAACTTTTTCAGTGATTTTTAATCCATAGTTGGGGTTATTAGCAGCGGGTGCAGATGCTAATGCTGCAGATAACCAAGGAAAAACTGCTTTATATTGGGCTGCTTATAAAGGTCGTAAAGAGGTAGTAAAGGATCTATTAGCAGCGGGTGCAGATGCTAATGCTGCAGATGACCAAGGAAAAACTGCTTTATATTGGGCTGCTCAAGATGGTCATAAAGAGGTAGTAAAGGATCTATTAGCAGCGGGTGCAGATGCTAATGCTGCAGATAACCAAGGAAAAACTGCTTTATATTGGGCTGCTTATAAAGGTTATAAAGAGGTAGTAAAGGATCTATTAGCAGCGGGTGCAGATGCTAATGCCGCAGATAACCAAGGAGTAACTGCTTTACATAAGGCTGCTCAAGATGGTCATAAAGAGGTAGTAAAGTATCTATTAGCAGAGGGTGCAAATCCTTTGTTGGAGAATCGTTATGGTCAATCTCCTACAGACTTAGCTGAGAGTTATGAGATAAGAAAGATTTTTGAGGGTGCAAGTGAATTGCCTAAGATGAAAAAAGAGATGATTGGCGCGAGTGGGATGTCGCTCCTTGATCTTGTGCTAATGAATCCAACAGATGAAGCTAATATGATACATTGCGCGCATAATCCTAAATTGTTACAAGAAGGTACGTATGAAGATCGTTACTATATATTTGCTGCAATAATAGGTGCTCGATTTGAAGCTATAGAAAAAAGAAGATATTTAGAAAATGAAGCTAGTAATGCAATGATACGTATGTGTAAACTTAATGGACAGGAATTGAGTGAAGATGCCAGTAGAATATTAGTTGCTAATATTCCAAATATTAGGTTAAAAAGATTAATTGTTGCAAACATTAACGCTAAAGATAAAGGTCAAGGTGGAAAAACTCCTTTACATGATGCTGCTTTATATGGTCATATAGATGAAGTAAATGCTCTATTAAAAAAAGGTGCATATGTTAATATTAGAGATGGTGATGGACACTCTCCTTTACATCAGGCTGCTGCAAATGGTCATACGGAGGTAGTAAAGCTTCTATTAGAACAAAAAGATACAAATGTTAATGCTGCAGATAAAAATGGGTACACTCCCTTAGATTATGCTTCTCACAGGGGTTATCATGTTTTTGAAGGAAGTCATCAAGGGGTGATAGATGCTCTCTTAGCAGCAGGTGCAAAAAAACCTAGCACTCAAATGGATAGAACACAAATCGCTCAGGAAGGGGCAAGTAAGAAAGTGTAATCTCTTAGTATGCGTATCGATGGCAGTTTTGTCGTCGATACACTCTTAAATACATTCTGTGACGCTCATACCATAAATAGATTAAAAATAGGTCTAATTTCCTATTACCTGTAAAATTTCTTCCTTAATAAAA